GGGAAGCTTGGGGCACTTTAGGGCTTCCTGAGAAGTTTCGGGTTTAGGGTTTAGGGTTTGGGGTTTAGGGTTTAGGGTTTAGGGCTTGGGGTTTAGGGCTGAGGAAAGCCTGGGAAGCTTGGGGCTTGTGGAAGTTTGTTTAGGGCTTCGGGATGCTCAGGGTTTGTGGAAGCTTAAGGTTTGGGTTTAGGATGTTGAGGGTTTAGGGTTGAGGGCTTCGGGAAGGTTCGGGTTCGGGGCTTAGGGAAGTTTAGTAGGTTTCGGGGTGAAGGAACTTTTTGGGCTCCCTGGGTTGAGGGTTTAGGGCTAACAAACCACAGCATCAGCTTGTGTCGAACACTCAGATCTTTCCGCTCTCCACAAAAAGCTTCGACAGCTTCCTCAGAAACCCTAAACCCTAAACCCTAAACCCTAAACCCTAAACCCTAAGCCCTAAACCCTAAACCCTAAACCCTAAACCCTAAACCCTAAGCCCTAAACCCTAAGCCCTAAACCCTAAACCCGAAGCCCCTATGACCCCAAGCCCCCAAAAAACTGCCGATGACCGGCAGCCAAGGCTAGCAGACCTTCCCACGGCGTGCCGAAACAAGGTGCGCAGAAGCCGCAGAAGCGAACGTGGCAGCTGGACTAGGATTTGCTTCAGCAATCTGCAGGGGTTTCCGAAATAGGGGTACCTTAGTTCATAGAATCCTAATATTTGGGGGATTTGCACTTATGTAACCCCCCCCCTCCCCCCCAAAAAAAACAAACCCCCAAACCCCCAAACCCCCAAACCCCCAAACCCCCAAACCCCCAAACCCCCAAACCCCCAAACCCCCAAACCCCCAAACCCCCAAACCCCCAAACCCCCCACAACCCCCAAACCCCCAACCCCCAAACCCCCAAACCCCCAAACCCCCAAACCCCCAAACCCCCAAACCCCCAAACCCCCAAACCCCCAAACCCCCAAACCCCCAAACCCCCAAACCCCCAAACCCCCAAACCCCCAAACCCCCAAACCCCCAAACCCCCAAACCCCCAAACCCCCAAAACCCCAAAACCCCAAAACCCAAGCCCCAAAACCCCAGCACCCCTCGATCACAACTTCTCCAGACCCTTACTCCAACTGACCCTTTGCCGAAGGCGCGGGCCTCTGTGCCAGAGGTGTCCCTTTCCTCACCCAGGTGGGGTGCCCAAGTTTAGGGTCTGGAATTAACAGTCTAGGCGTTAGAAGTTGGGAGTTAGAAGTTGGGATTGTGGGTGGGCTCCCCGATGCTGATGATGCTCGCGGACGCGGCTCCCTTGACGCCCAGAACAAGGCAGCTGGTGATGATGATGCTCCCTGCACGCCCAGCAGCGGCTGATGGTCATTGCTGCACAAATGTAGAACACATGTCTGAGTTTGGTTGGCGATTCTCATCCCAAGAGACCATGGTTTTGTGTGCTCGCAGGGGTTCCAGGCACTCGAGACGCGAACACCCGCCCCACCGCAGGCCCCCTGAACTTCGCAGCCGAGCCATGTCCGAGGCCGAGGCAGTGATCCGCAATCAGTCCGGCTACATCAACCACACGGCCAAGAAGGACTACGGGCCCTTGGAGTTTACTGGGAGGATTGCTGGAGGTCTGAGGCTGGACTTGCGTAGGCGGCTGCCGCTCTACGCGAGCGACTGGACGGATGCGTTCAAGCCGGAGAACTTCCAAAAATCTTTATCGTCCATTCTCTACCTCTTCATCGCAGCCTTGGCACCCGCCATCACCTTCGGAAGCCGCTTCTTGGACGGCACCAATGGCCAGTTCGGAGTGCTGGAAATGATTATGTCGACAGCTGTCTCCGGCGTGATCTTCTCCACCTTCGCAGGTCAGCCCTTGTCCATCCTGGGAGCGACCGGTCCTTTCTTGGCTTACACCCTCGTGGTGTATGACATGGCGGTGGGTGCCGATGTGGAGTTCATGCCCTTCTACTTCTGGGTTTGCATGTGGTGTTCGCTCTTCACCATTTTGGTCGCGGTCTTCGACCTCTGTGCTCTCATGAAGCATGTGACCATGTTCTCGGAAGACATCTTCGCGGGGCTTATTTCTTTGATCTTTATCATCGACGGAGTTAGGCCCGCAGCTCGTGAGCATTGTGAGTGTTGTGCTGTTTGTGCGTGCATGCATGTGCGCGCGAGCGTGCGAGAGTACACGCCAGAAAGCACGTGTGCGCGCGCGCGTGCGTGGCTGGGTGGTTGTGGTGCTGGCCGGCTGGATGTCTGTGTGTGTGTGTGTGTCCTGTTGTGCATTCGGGGATGGGGTCATGCCGACGCATTTTGCTTGTGTTCGTCACCCGTTTTCGCTTGCAGAAATCTGCAGCAGAGGCAAGCACAGAGCATTGAGTCCTGCACGATAGTCATGTCCATGAGATTGGGCGGTGATGTTGGTAATGGGCTCATGATGTACTTGTCGCACGAAGGTGAAGATGCTGTCTTGTCGAACGAATCTAACCGTGTGTTGTTTTTGGTTGTGCACGAAGGTAGGTCAGCAAGTGTACTTGAAACATCGTGGCGCGCCTAATCAACCGTTGACCATTCCGGGGCGCAGGCCTATCATCGAGAACTTCTCGGAGAACAAGATGAGCCTGACCAGTGCCATGTTCGAGGCCCCGCTCTCAGGGTGTGCACGTCCCTGGGCGGGCATCATTGAAAATTTGTTGAAATTTGCCGAGGCCCTACTCTTCATGTACACCTTTGGCTTGGCGACCTACCTGTCCCACTTCCGCCGCACGCCTTGGCTGCTCCGGCCCATCCGAAACCTCATGGCCAACTTCGCAGTGACCATCTCCCTGGTCACGGCCTCGGCCCTGGCAGCGATCTACTCCAGCGACACGAACCTGAGGATGCTGAGCGTCGACGCGGACTTCTCCCCGAACCTCGTCTTGTCGGATGGCAGCAAGCGCCCCTGGGTCGTGAATCCCATGGGCATCGAGCGCTCCTTCCCGGCCTGGGCCATTGCTTACGCGATACTTCCAGCAACCTAGACCCAGACTAGGCCTTCATCATATTTTTAGGGTTTAGGTCTAGGTTCCCTTATAAGCTTCTTCAAAGGGTAATTGCCCTTTTGATCCTAGGTTACACTTGGGTCTAGGCAATTGGTTTCGCCGTGCTTGGATACCTGGACCAGAACCTCACGTCTGTGATCGTGAACAGGCCTTCCAACAACCTGCAGAAGGGGCCAGGCTATCATCTGGATCTGTTTTCGGGCAAGCGCTTGCAAGAATCATTTTGCTTTTGTAGCCGTTCCCTGTATGAGGGTCAGAGAGATTTTTTTGTTTACAGAGACACTTTTCTCAGGTTTGTCAGGGGAGCTTTGACGCTGCCCGTCTGCGCCGTATTGGGCCTACCTCTGTCGGTGGCCTCGACGGTACCTAGCATCACCCACGTGATCTCGCTGACCACCTATGAGGTGAAGCAGCTGCCGGAGGGCGAGCGCAAGGTGCCGAGCAAGGTCGTGGAGCAGCGTGCGACGAACTTTTTGATCCATGTGCTCATAGGATGTGCGCTCTTCCTGGCGCCGGCGCTGAAGTTCCTGCCACGTGCCGTGCTGCAGGGCGTGTTCTTCTACATGGGCATCGCAAGCTTGACCGGCAACAACCTTTTCGACCGCCTCTTCCTGTGGCTGATCTGGGACCCGGCCAAGTACCCACAGTACCACTACATCCAGAAGCTGCCCATCCGCCGTGTGCACCTCTACACTCTGGTGCAGGCAGGTTGGCTTTGGAAGATTGATTGGGGTTGTAACTACTGTAGTGAACGTCCACAGCCTACAGCCTATGGGGGGCATAGTTAGGGCCTAGTTGCTAGAAAGCTGGCCTGGTCTAGGGGTAATGTCCGAGCTTGCGTTCAATTTCGCGCAGCTGCAGCAATCGCTTCATCTTTTTAATTATCTCTCTCTCTCTCTCTGTCTTTGTTGTTTTTTGGTTTTCCTCCCTCGCTCTCTCTCTGTCTCTCCCTCCCTGTCTGTCTGTGTCGCTGCGCTGTGAGGGTCTTAGTCCTGTTTCACTTTCCAAGTTTCACTCCAGTCATTGGTGACTTCATCTCCCTGTATGCATGCTACTTGTAGCAGCGAGCGCTTGCTGCGGCATTCGTGGTGCCAACTTAGTGAGTACATGCTCACGCGGCGGGCATCAGCCTAAAGTTGTTCTTCTGCCAGGTGGTTTGCCTGGGCATCTTGTACGGTCTCAAAGCCATCAAGGAGACTTCCGTTGTCTTCCCTTTCTTCATGGCTTCCCTGGCCATCATCCGGAAGGCGTGGGGCAAGAATCGGCAAGACATCTTGGCGCAAGGGCGGAGAAATAAGACCCGCGCATCTAACCCCCTGTGCCATCTGCAGGCCATGCGCTTCCTCTTCACGCAGGAGGAACTGGAGCTGCTGGACAGCCTCCCAGCTGAGGAGGAGGACGGCAAGGCGCCCTTCGGGGGGTTCTCTTTCCTAGACGTTTGAATTCGGATAGTCGTGGACAATCTGTATAAACCCTAAGCCCTCAGCCCTAAACCCTAAACCCTAAACCCTAAACCCTAAACCCTAAACCCTAAACCCTAAACCCTAAACCCTAAACCCTAAACCCTAAACCCTAAACCCTAAACCCTAAACCCTAAACCCTGCAAGAGTGGCAAAAGCCAGGGGCTGAGTCCCGAGCAGCCGGACTTGGTCAACCTCGAGAAGGCCAAGGCCACTGGCAGACCCGGCAGACCTTCTGCGGGTTTAGGGTTTAGGGTTTAGGGTTTAGGGTTTAGGGTTTAGGGTTTAGGGTTTAGGGTTTAGGGTTTAGGGTTTGGGATTTAGAGGAGTTTCGGGCTTTGGGACTTCGATTTGGTGACTTACTTGTGCCGGGCCGTTCGTTGCCGGTTCAAGGGGCTTCAAACAAAACATTGTTATCGCCTTTCTGAGTCTTCAGGAACTCAGGTTTGGGGCGCTTTCGTGTGCAATGGCCAGCATGTCAGGAGAACGATGAGGGAGAGCCCCCGAAGGCCACTATGGGGGTCTGAGCCGCCGCAGCCGGCCCTTGCCCTTTTCTTCCTTCTTCGGATGGAGCCGTTAAAAGGGGCCTGAAGGGCCTTCGAGTATACAGAATTCGTTGAGTTTTTGGCTGATTTTGGCTCCTTGGAGCTGGCTGGCAGGGCCCTTGCTGCGGCAATGGGCTCGTGCCTGACAAACCCTTACATCCAAGCAGCACTGGCCGGAGCGCTGGCGCAGACACTGCCCCGGCTGGTCCTGGCGCTTGGATATCGCAGTGCCCTGAGTGGGCACAGCGGCGCCGGGAACAGAAGTTTCTCTCAGCTTTCGGAGGCTGTCGCCCCAGGCGAACATCTCCAAATCTACCCTGTACAGCCCCCGGCGCCAAACCCTCTACCCCTCATGCACATGGTGCGGAAAAGGAGGCCTCGTCCGTGGCCGTGCCGCGCTCCCCGAGCATGACTCCAACCTAAGCCCTGAACCCGAAACTCTAACCCTAAACCCTAAACCCTAAACCCTAAACCCTAAACTCTAAACCCTAAACCCTAAACCCTAAACCCTAAACCCTAAACCCTAAACCCTAAACCCTAAACCCTAAACCCTAAACCCTAAACCCTAAACCCTAAACCCTAAACCCTAAACCCTAAACCCTAAACTGCTGCCCTTACGGTTCGAGCTCATGGCATCCTGCAGCGCTGCGACCCGCGGGTTGGGCTCGGAAAGGTTCATAGGGTGTAGGGATCAGGGACAGCCAGGTTTAGGGTTTAGGGTTTAGGGTTTAGGGTTTAGGGTTTTTTCCAGGGGTGCGAAGTTGTGTTCCTTTTAGGGTTGAGGGCTTAGGGTTGTCGGGTTGTATACGATAAGCCCCCAGTGGCTTAGGGAGTCGCATGTGTTCATGGGCCAAGATTCCGACCTTACCCCCGAACCCCTGACCAGACTGATTTTTTATCGGAAACTGGGTTCAGGGCTCAGGGTTACAGGAGTAAGCATCGGGACTATGGTTGGTCTAGGTAGTATTTGCCCTTCCTTCGCCCTCTATGGTCAAGGGACTTCACCTTACCCTTACTGTGGTACCCTCGGGTCGGGGACCCCTTTTTTAAGATACCCTAAACCCTCAGCCCTCAGTCCCTAAGTCCTAAGCCCTAGGGGTAGGAGTCTTAGCCCCTTGACATGGGAAGCTGCCCCTGTTGGGTGTAGGGTTTAGGGTTTTAGGGTTTAGGGTTTAGGGCTTAGGGTTTAGGGTTTCGGGTTTAGGGTTTAGGGTTTCGGAGTTCTTGAAGCCGGTGCCCATTCTAAGGGAGCCGAGCCTCTTTAAAGCTCATGTTTACAGGGCCCGCCCCAAAGTTAATTAGGGGTGAGGGACCCTAAACCCTAAACCCAAAACCCAAAACCCAAAACCCTAAACCCAAAACCCAAAACCCCAAACCCGAAACCCTAAAGCCCTAAGCCCTAAGCCCTAAGCCCTAAGCCCTAAGCCCTAAGCCCCAATCCCTAAACCCCAACTCCTAAATCCTCACCCTGAACCCTAAACCCTTTTGCTATTGGCGTGTGCTTAAACCTTGTTCAGTTTTCGAACAACCGGGCACCAACCCTTATTCAAATCTCGAACAATCAGCACAACGTTTAGGGTGCAGGGCCTAGGGGTTAGGGTTCAGGGCCTAGAGGTCCAGGGCCCTTGGTAGCCCAGTTGTACCATTTACCCTTTTTTTTGGTTATGAGTTCCCTTATGAAACAACCGGCCCCAAAAAGGGTGCCCTTATTCTAATATGGTTACTGGGCCACCACGGGCCAAGGCACGTGGCGCATGGGGGGGGTTTAGGAAAATAAGCCGTTAGCATCTTCCGATGATGCGGTGTTGTTGCTTGTCCCTAGATTGTACGAACTGTATTGGGCGGGTAGGTATTTTCCCAAGGCTTGACAAGCTGCTTGACGAGTGAATACTTATGCTTGAGCTGCTGAACCCTGGACCCCTAAACCCCTAAACCCCTAAACCCCTAAACCCCTAAACCCCTAAACCCCTAAACCCCTAAACCCCTAAATCCCCTAAGCCCCGAAGCCCCTCAACCCCTCAACCCCTCAACCCCCGAACCCTAAACCCTAAACCCTAAAGCCCCTGAGAAGAGGCCATGCATCCTTTGCCCAGGCCGAGTCTCAACTCCATCAGCGCTTCCGCCTCGAAATTGCCCCTGCGGCTGAAAGATGAGGGTGTTTGGGGTTCTTGTTCTTGTTTTTTTTTTTTTTTTTCGGGGAGGGGTTTGGGTGGTTTGTCTTTTTTTGGGTTTATTTCTATTTGTGTTTTTTGGTTTTTGGGCGTGTTTAGGGTGTTTTGGTGGTTTTTCGGACCCTTTCAGGAAGCCTAAAGCGTTTGGGGAAGGGGTTCAGAGGCTTGGGAATTCCAGGGCTCTGAATCCTAGGATAAGGGGGGCCCTTTGAAAGGGAGCCCTTTTGAACTTTCTTCTGACTCTCTTAAACAGGGACCTTATTCAGAGGGTCTATATCCCCGAAGATCTCCCTTATCCTACGAAAGGTGTTTTAAGGCTTGAGGACCGGCAGTTCGGGTGCTGCCGGGTTTAGCGTTTTAGGGTCTTAGGTTCATGGGGTTTAATTAGAGCATGCCGAACTCCTCCATGATCATCCCTTAACGGGTTCTGGTTTAGGTTTTTTGGGGTTGTAGGGTTACACAAGACCCATAAAACTCTCAACCCCGAACTTCCGGGGTTCCACTCCAGCACATTTTCAGGGCTGAAAACGATAGAAACCCAGCCAGGGGGAAGAGGGATTATTCTTTGGGATGTTGCCCCTTCTACGAACAGTCCTTAATCGATAGCTCTTTTTTCAGGACTGTTAGTGGAAGGGGGAACATCCCAACCCTGAACCCTGATTCCTGAACCCTGAACCCTAAACCCTAAGCCCTAAGCCCTGAACACCAAACTACCTTGTGTCTTTGTGCACTTATGGCCAACGCCTCTATCTTAAACGTCTCAACTCCGAATTTTTGGGGGGTTTTACGAAAATAGGGGGACCCCCCCAAGTAGTAGGGTTTAGGGGTTAGGTTTAGGGTTTATTAGGGTTTAGGGTTTAGGGTTTAGGGTATGTTTCGCACCACGTCTTTCAGGTACTTTCGGGGGAGCAATTGTTTTGATGTCAGTTGATTTCGGGTTTGCTCCGGGATAGATGTCGACCTCCTCGCGGACGAGCCGGAATAGCGCACTGAGCCTTGGGATAGATGGAGGGGCCTGGATAGAATTTCGTGTGCTGTTGCTGTCTGGGCTTACAGGGCAACAAGACAGCAACATAAGCACACTGTACATTCATTCACCTTTCTCTTTTGTTTGTTTCTTGACTTCGTCCGTGTAGCTGCGCCCCACTTGTACAGTTTTGCCCCCGTGGATAGTGTCCCTGTACGTGGTGGATCCGCTTAGCCAACTCGCAGCCGGAGGCCAGAGGAGCTAAAACGATCGGGCGTCGACGAGGGATAGATCCTTTTCCCTAACCCTTGGGATAGTTATCTGTTCTCTTTACAACTCATAGCCGGAGGCCGGAGGATACTGAGGATAGGTGGCTGTCCAGGTGAATATTGGGATAGGTGTACAACACGCAGCCGGACGGCTAGTGGATACATCTTGAACGATAGGTTACCACCCCCTGGAGATAGCAACTTTGGGGATCCTTCCGATAGTTAACGTCGGGAGTGGCTTGGAATACTTGGCTAGCTACCTCGTGTTCCCCGTTGACAGGGATACTGTTACTTCTGGAGCAACTTAACACCTCACAACTGTAAATAACCAACTTCCTTGTCTACTTGGGTCTGATCAGCCGGAATAGTGGACACAGTTTTTCAGTTCTTCGACGCGCAAGTTTTCCTTGATTTGGACACTTCGCACAGGTTAAGAGCCTTGTAGTTTCTGTACCGACTGAGCCGAAGGCGAGGCGAGGATAGTTCAACGTCATGACGGACATGTGGAACGACGAGCGGGCACGAGAGGGATATATGGATTTGGGTCGGGATAGACATGTGGGGAGTGGACGCACCCCCGCAGGAATAGGGAACGGAATGTACGATGGGTGCGCTGGAGATGGAGATGGACTTGGGAAGAATACGAGCGGGGACGACAAAGCGTTTGACTTGTCAGGTATTGGGGATAGTCAGGAACGAGGAGGACCATGGGATCTGAGCCTTTCAGATGGAACGACTCCTAGGGCGGATGATGGGATATCAGGGCCTTCGAGTGTTTTTGGCGGGGTTGTCGAGGAAGATATGTTAGCCGGAGACGGCTGCCTGGAGGAAGTGCATCATGGACGGAGCGACTTGGGATATGCTCGGAGATCGGATGATGTTGGGATAGCAAACAATGGAGTTGATAGATGGGATCCTTTTGGTCCTGATGGAGACGGCGGAGATCGGGATACTCTTGGGATAGGTGTGCGAGTTCATGGGGATAGTTGCGCCGATCGATGGGTGAAGGATCCTCAAGGTCTTGATGGACACGATGCGCGAGTTCATGGGGATATTCGTAGAAGTGATGCGGCGGCGGAGCTGGGAGATATGCGAGATGAACGCGTTGAAAGGATCATGAGGGTGGGGATAGACTCGGAACAACATGGCCCAAAAATCCCTGGAGAGCCCAGAGAGGTCTCGGGACGACCTGGCTCAAACTTCCCTCAAGAGTCCAGAGAGGTCTCGGGACGACCTGGCCCAAAATTCCCTCAAGAGCCCAGAGAGGTCTCGGGACGACCTGGCTCAAACTTCCCTCAAGAGTGCAGAGAGGTCTCGGGACGACCTGGCCCAAAACTCCCTGGAAAGACCAGAGAGGTCTCGGGACGACCTGGCCCAAAAATCACTGGAGAGCTCAGAGAGGTCTCGGGACGACTTGACGGGCCGAAGAAGAAGGAGCAGACCATCGCTAATGTGGACGAGTGGGGCAATGATCGAAGTGGTGGCGATGGGATAGGGCTGGGGAGTATGGGTGGCGCAAAGGGGATAGAGCTCGGAGCGAGGAACGCAGGATTGAGCATTGGGTGGAATAGCATC